CTATCTATCTATCTATCTATCTATCTATCTATCTATCTATCTGGACGCAGAGTCCCTGGCTGTAAACAATTTACTTGCCCTTGATGTGGCAACTGTAGACTCTGTCATCAGTGTTTAATAGGCAAATGTGAATCACTGCAAGTTTCATAACATGTGAACCACAGGGGACACTGAGTTCCCTATGAACTTGGGAAGAGGCTTTTCGAGTACAGTCTTATTTGTATCTGCCAAATTAAGCACTACTGATTTTAGTTAAGTTTATTAGTTGGGATAAGATTACTACTTCTGTTGAACCTCTTCAAAGAGTGATAGGGCAGTACTCTCTTTTTCCTGGAATGCAAAATTTGTGAATTGTATCTAAAACCTATCTTCCAACAGAAACTCTTGGAAGAAAAGAATAAACTGCCAAGCCAATGTAACCAATATAAATTGGGAGTTGCAGTAAAAATACAAATACAAAATATAAGCTGCTAACAATGAGTAGCCTAAAGTTCACAAAATTATCAATTGTCACTCAAAAATGAAAAGAGGCATTTCATTTTAAGGGTTCAGTTCCTTCCAACCCCCAGGGAATACCACACCTTTAAATTTCATTTGATTTTATATATTCAGGGCACCACCCTATACTAATCTCCAGCTTTGCTAATATAAAGATTGTCATGCTTTTCTTTATTCCTGGTCTTAGTCTAACAAGGAACCTATGTGTTTCTCCCAAGGCAAGCAATAAGCATTGGCAACAGGCATCCTTTTTATTTTCAGAAACAAATGTCAGCCATTGTTTCTTTATCTGATAATCCTAGCATGCCATCAATATCTAATTGTGAGTAATTAATCCAGTTTACAATCTATATTTGAGACTGAGAGTCCTTTATTATTTTAAGACATAGTTATTCTAAGACATAAGGTATAGCTGGTTTAGCATATTGATTGAATGAAGCCATTGTGTTGTGTAAACCACAATTTGCTTATCATTGTGTGTGAATCTAGTGGCTTATTCAACAATCCATGGTTAAAACAAACTGTGGCTTAGTATATGGTGTAAACCCTGCTGGAGTGCAGCCACAGCACAGTTATTCCATTCTTTCGCCTTCAAAGATTTTCTATGGTAAGAACAAAGAAGAAAGAAGCAGTGGAGAAATCCAAGAGGGTCACAAATGAAAGATGACACAACCTGGTTCCTTTGATGTGTTATAAAATCCATACATTCCATAAAGGTTGAGTAGCATGGCATGTAGGCAAATAAAACTACCTCAAAAACAGATGTGATCCAAAG